AAACTTGTAAAAAAATATATATATATATATATGAACCATAAAGTGACTCAGACGCCGCCTTGCAGCCTCTACGTTCACATGTAGTGGAAAACCCGTTTAGCGTGGCAAACAGCCGCTGTAATTGTCGAATGAACACAGTGTGGCACTACACTTCTTTTTTTTTTCCCTTTTCCTTTTGGGGATGATTGTACACGTTTTGAGTGTCGGGAGATGGCGAAAGGTCCAGGGGTCGTCAGCCTAGCACGCCTTYGTCAAGTCAGTGGGCATGTCCGCCGTCGACATCCGGTACTGGATCTTGGTGTTGGTGATGGCGCCGTGCTTCTGTCGGAGGTGCAGCCGGAGCTGACTCTTGTGGCGGAAGTGCAAGTTGCATTTTTCACACTGAAAATGGAAAAAAGAGGTGTTATTGTCAGTCGTAAAAAAAAATTAATGCATTTTTGTAAAGGTAACATCGATGACATGTTGCAGGAAAAAAACAAATCACACCGCTGAGACGAACAGTTGAGATATTAACGTGAAGAAACAGGAAGTGATGTCATTGGGTAATGTTTGGATGTAAACAAAACGTTACTACAAAGGCTGATAACAGACATTAGATTATTCTGAGTCGATCAGAGAGGAAGAGTTCAAATAGGCTTTCTTAAAGAGTTCCCCTTTGATGTCACTTCCTGTTTCACTTTGTGACAAAGTAGGGAAAATCGTGTAATATTTCTTAAATATAAACACATTTTCTTTGACTTTTTGTATTTACAGAAAATGCATGTCACAGACACGTTGARGCTTTATACACCTACATGGTAGGGCTTTTCTCCCGTGTGGATGCGCAGGTGGCTCTTCAGCGTCTGCAGGTGGCGGAAGCGCGTCCCGCAGATCTCACACGGGTACGGTTTCTCTCCGGTGTGGATCAACACGTGAGCGCGAAGGTGAGCGACCTGAAAAAAAAAAAAAAGAAACAAAACAAAATCAGAAAGGAGCCGTGAGTTCGTCCCTCCTGACGCAGAGGAGCAGGAGGAGGACGCGCTGGGTAAACGTTGCGGGTTTATCCTGACCTGAACGAAACGAGCTCCACACGTCTCACATTTGTATGGCTTCTCTCCTGAGTGGATGCGAGTGTGAGTCTTGAGGTTAGCTGGTCTGTTAAACTGAGCACCACAGATGTTGCAACGGTACGGCTTCTCTCCTGGAAACAACACATCGRTTTGGAGTTTAACAACAGAGACGCTCGGATGGAGGAAGAAACATGAAGGTRTTTGTGTTTTGCTTTAGGTTTTACCTGTGTGGACAGTTTTGTGGCTGGCCAGGTTGCCCTTGTACCTGAAGGCGGCCTGGCAGCGGTCACACTTGTATGGCTTGTCGCTGTGCACTTGAAGCATGTGCTGCTTCAGAGCTTCGTCGTCGGCAAACTTTGAGTCGCACTCGTTGCAGAAGAATGCCCCGTTTTCTAGTTAAAAAAAAAAAAAAGAAAGAAGAATTGACTTCCTCGTCCTACATGACGCCAGCTAAGTAATTTAAAAAGAAAAGTGAGAAGAGACGCACCACAGCTGGAGTCGGAGTACTCCGAGTGCAGCTCTGCCATGTCTTCTGAGTGCCGGGACCTGGAGCTGTTGGGACAGACGTCGGAGTGCTGCGGGGACCGGGAGCCGCAGGTGGAGCAGCTGATGCGGTTCAGGTAGTGCGGTGGGTGGCCTTCGCCGCTCCTCAGGGACCCCTCGAGCGCGCTGATGGACAGAAGGGGAAGACAAAAAGGTTGAAAGCGTGCGGTGGGTGATGTTAGCGTCGTGTCGGGGCGACGCCTCACCTGCTGATGATGTTGTTGAGGCGACTCGCCTGCGGCACCGGCAGGTCCTCGCTGTGCTCGCTGCTTTTGCTCGTGGCCTGGAGGTCGAGGTTCTCCGAGTCGCCGGGGTGAAGGTAGGGCTGCAGGCCGAGGCGCTGAGGGGAGTGAAGCCCCGCCTCGTCCTCCTTGGCGCTCTGGTTGAGCACGATGAACTTGTACTTCTTCCAGTTGCGAGCTTTGGGGTCCGGCGCCCCCTGCGAGGCCAGCGCTCCGCYGATGTGGGCGAGGCCGGCGTTCTTGCTGCTGCTGGACTCTGTCGGGGAGTTGGGCTGGCAGTCTGATTTCAGGGGGCTCTGGGGGCTGCTCATGAGACTCTTACGCCCCGCGGAGGAGACCCCCAGCGGGAAGTGCTGATGAAGGAGGTCTTCCTCCGCCGGCGCAGCGTGCTCTTTGCTTGAGTCTTTCTGCTGCTCCAGAGTCAACACGGGAAAGGCGCGCTTTCTGGAGCTGAGAACGATAGGCGGGCCCACGCCCTCGTGGCCCTCCTTCCTCAGCTCCTCGTCCCTCCCTGCCTCCCTGGATGCGTAGGCGGAGGAGTGGAGGAGGCTGCCGGCGCCCAGCGCCCGGGTGTACTCTGCCCTGACGGTGCCGTCGTGGGGGGCGCAGTGCTTGTAGTGGAGCCCGCTCTTCGAGAGGTCGGCGAAAGCATTTTTGGCRTCGGTCAGCTTGCAGAGGGGGAAGGGGAATCCCGGCATGGGGAACTGCCCRTACAGGTGGTAGTTGCTGGGGGTGCTGACCCCGCCGAACATGTTGGCGCCGTAGGGTCTCCCGTCCCTGAAYGGAGCCATGCGACTGTGCAAACTGTCCACAACGTCGTGGGGCCGGTACGCGTGGACGTCCGGAGGTAAGACCAAGGGACTGACCAAAAACTCGTCTCTGGGCAGCTTGGCTGCTGGGTCACTGCGACGAGAAGGAGCGGCTCAGAAACGGAAAAACAATCACAGGTTTTTACACCGAAGGGTCTTCCACCCACCTGGATTTGATGAATCGGTGGCAGGTGTCCACCACGTGGTCCATCTGCAGGTAGATGGCCGTGTTCATGATGGCCATGATCAGGCTTTCCTTCAGCGCCAGACGGGACGTGTACATGAACTCCAGCAGGATGGCAAAGCCCTCCGGGTCCACCTTCGGGTCCAGACTGATGGCGTTCAGGTTGCACTTGTGGGAGTCGGTGAAGATGGTGTAAAACAGTCCACTGGAGCCGCAAACACACAAAAAAATTGATTTTTTTTTTTTAACTGCTTGGATAGAAAGGTGCTAAACAAGTCCATTTACCATTTAACTTTGAACAAATAAAAAGTGTTACGCGTCACACACCTGCAAGCCATGAGGACGGTCTTGTGCGCACGGAACTGCTGCCTGTTGACCAGGATGGTGACATCGGTGAGGATGTCTCGGCTGCGCAGACGGTTCAGGTTGAGCAGGACGTCGCTGGCGTGCCGGGTGAACTGTATGCAGCTGTCTGCTGCGCAAGACATCTTCTCAACTTCTGCAAACAGCAGCCACAAAAACATGAGTTCAGATTGAAAAAACGCTCCGATCTTATTGGTTTATAAACTCTCATAGAACGAAACAATACAGTGAAAACAAACAGATAAAAAGAGTGAAAATCAACAAATGCAGCAAAAAAAAAAACAGAATAAAAGTGGGTTTAAGTGATTTTAAAGCAGCAAACACTATTTACCAACAGAAATGAACTGAGGTTGAAGTTATTTTTTTTTTATTTGTGATAAAAGAAGGAAAGAAAAATCACCAGAAGGAGGCGCCRTTTATTAAAATAACCTTTTCCCTCCTCTTCATGTCTGAACTGACGCTCCTGTTCAGACTCAAAAACTCCAGCAGTTTTACTGTAAAGA